CCGATCTCGGCGTTGAACCTGGCTGGCAAGTCAGACTTGTCTCAGATCCAGGCATGGAACGCTCGTGGTCCTCCAGCTGGAGCACGAGAGGCCGTGTATACCATCATCGGTCGCAACCCTTCCTCGGCACCCGCTGTCAGTGCCTGGGATGGCGACTTGTCATATGCCGACTTGACCAGACTCTCCAATGGCTTGGCCCATCGCCTCCGCAGCATGGGAGTTGGCATTGGCGCCGAGACTGTGGTTGCCTTCAGCCACGGGAAGTCTAAATGGATTCCAGTTATCATGCTTGGTATCCTAAAGGCAGGCGGTGCGTTCGTTGCTTTGGATGCGGCTCAGCCTGAAAGCCGTCTCAAGTTCATCGTCGAAGAAGCCAGGATCAGCGTCCTTCTCACTTCACCTGAGCTGGCAAAACTCCCCTCATTAGCAAATCTGCCTGTCACTCCAGTCTTCCCAGCGTCGCTGGAATACTCGACCGAGGAGAAAGAGACCACGCCGCCACCTGCTCACAGTGTCTCTCTACCTGACTCCTTGGCGTATGTTGTCTTCACGTCTGGCAGCACAGGTGTGCCAAAGGGAGTGATGGTGTCTCATTCTGCTACAGCTTCCAGCACTTTGGCTCACGGCTCCGCCATGGGAATCACTTCCGAGAGTCGAGTCTTGCAATTCGCCTCCTACACTTTCGACGCCTCTGTGCTCGAGGTACTTGGCACACTGCTCGCTGGGGCTTGTGTCTGCATTCCATCGCCGGAGGAAGCTTCAGAAGATCTGAATGCAGCAGTCAGGAAGTATGGCGTCGACTTCGCTGCTCTCTCCCCCCGAGTTGCTTCTCTACTTCGTCCCAAGGAGGTCCCGGCTATCAAGGCTATTGCACTGGGTGCTGAGGTTGTGACAAGCTCAGATATTCAGCGATGGGAGGGCCGCCGTGTCAGTAACGGTTATGGCCCGACCGAGTGCACCGTTGTGTGCGTCTTGGAGTCCAACAATCACAAGCCTGGACGCATTGGAAGAGGTGTTGGTTGTATCTGCTGGATTGTGGACCCCGAAGATCCGAACAAGCTGGCACCCGTTGGCGCGCCTGGAGAGCTGCTCATTGAGGGACCTTGTCTTGCTCGCGGGTATCTTCATCAGGAAGAGAAGACCCGCGCCGCCTTCGTGCAGGACCTTGCCTGGACTCGAGCTTTCCCCAATCCTGGCAGTAGGGCCAGACGCTTCTATAAGACCGGCGACATTGTAAGATACGACTCAGATGGTGGCATCTTGTTCATTGGCCGAAAGGACAACCAAGCCAAGCTCAGGGGCCAGCGCATTGAGCTCAGCGAAGTTGAACATCATATGCGTCGCGCTATGCCTGAGTGCCACATCGTCGCCGATATCGTTAGCTTCCCCCAGCAGAAGAACGACTCCATGGCCTTGGTTGCATTTGTCGTTCCTTCGAGCAGTAAGGCGTCGGGCAACTCCCTTGGATCCATGCTCCCACTCGACAGCAAAGCAGTCAAGGCCTTCGCTCAATCTTGGTCGAAGGCAACCGTGGAGATGTCTCACGCAGTGCCGCTGTACATGGTTCCAACGCTCTATATCCCTCTTGACGCAATCCCGCTCACCTCGTCGAGCAAGGTCGATCGCCGCAGGCTACAGGCCATCGTCGCAGATGTTACTGTCGAGCAATTGGAACTTCTTCGTGGCGTTCAAGGTGTCAAAGAAGCTCCTCGCTCTTCTCTAGAGAAGAGCATGGTGTCTGCCTGGGCACAGGTCCTTGGACTTGATACGAGTAAAATTGGCATCCGGGACAGCTTCTTCCGTCTTGGAGGTGATTCCATCACGGCTATGCGCCTCGTGCCAATCTTGGCTGAGGGCGGTCTCACGCTCCGTGTCTCTGATGTCTTCAAGTATCCCGTCTTGACCAGTTTGTGTCGCCATCTCCAAGGGGATGAAGATCGCACAGATGGTTCGTCCTCGACAGATGAGTGGTCAGATCTTGGCGGTAGTCAAGATCTCACCCCAGACGCTGAGCATACTGATGATGGTGAGGCCCTGCAAGTTGCCATCGCCGACATCGCCATTAGTACCGAAGTGTCTTCCATGACACAGACTTCTTCAAGCAGTCCAGCCGAGTATCACATCACACCCGCGTCAGACTTCCAGGCTCTTGCATTCGAGTTCTCTCAGCTCCGAAACCGCGGCTTCGTGAACTACTTCGTACTCCGCTTCCTCGATCGCTTCAGTCATGAACGCATCCGCAACGCTTGCACACAACTGGTTCAGCACCATTCGATCCTTCGCACCAAGCTCAAGCTCGCCAACGGCCGACTCTGGCAGCTTGCTGCTTCGGAATCCTCCTTCCAGCCCGCTTTCGAGTTCTTCCGCGTCACTTCGGATGACGTTGTCTCCTTCACGACACGCTTGATCGAGACTGACGAGGCTCGTCGCTTGGGTTCCGATGAGATTCCTACCAAGTTCTTCATCGTCGAGTCCGCCTCGCAAACCCAACTTGTCATGAGACTTGCTCACACCCACTACGACGGTCTGTCCTTCCCACTTCTCCTTCAGACGCTTTCTCAGGCTCTGAAGCGCAGTGAGCTAGCTCCCGAAGTCTCATTCGCCAAGTTCTCTTCCAGTATCCAGGCTCTTCCTTCTCGACAGTCCTTGTCATACTGGCGACGCCTCCTTGACAACTCGCAAATGACTCCAGTCATTACCCCTGCTGCCATCACCGCCAATGACGGAATTGAGGGTCACATTACTCGACTTGTGACCTTGCCAAATCTTTCTCAGGCCAGCGTGACCTTCGCTAGCGTTCTCAAAGCCGCCTGGGCCATCGTCCTTGCCCAGCACTCGAGTCTATCTGACGTTGTCTTTGGTTGCCTTGTGTCTGGTCGCTTCGCTCCGGTCCCTGGAATCGAGTCTGTGGTGGGACCTTGCGTCAATCTGTCTCCTGTCCGCGTCAACAACATCTTGAAGAATACCAGCACGCGCACTTTCCTGCAAGCCGTCCACGCTCAGCACACCAAGAGCATGGAGCATGAGCACGTTGGATTCCGTCGCATCATCACGGGAGCCACGTCTTGGCCAGCCCGGACCTCCTTCGCGGGCGCGTCCATCGTCCAGCACCAGAATATCCCATTGGCCGCCGAGCTGAACGAGACAACGCCTGACCTGCCTTTTGAATTGAGCGCCAAGGGAGGTACCTCGAATGCTGCTGCTATCTGGATCATCACGACTTCCCGCCCCTCGGAGGGCCTTTTGAGTATTGAGCTTACCCACGCCCTCAATACGATCAACCACAACACCGCCGAAACTCTTCTGCAGGCACTGTGTGTCGCTATTGAGCACTTCGGCCACCACTGGGACTCGGAAGCACCGCTTCCTGACACTCGAAGCCAGAAGACGAGGACGAACAATGCGCCACTCTTGCCGGGCGGCCCATCTGGCAATGACGATGAGTCTGTCGCGTCTTCCGACATGCAGAGTCCTGACGAGCATGCACGTGCCGTCGTCAACCAGGCGTGGAGCTTGCTGCAAAAGGCTCATTCCCGAGACACATCGTCAGAAGAAACCCCTACCTCCATGTTCGAGGTGTGGAATGACAACCTCGTCGCTGTGGCTTTGAAGGGCATATATGAAAGCCTGGACGTGTTCCTCGATCTTGAGCAACTTCTTCAGCATCCGACGAGGGACTCGCAAGCAGGCTTGCTTGCTTCTCTGGGCTTTTGAGATTTTTGCTTGTAATTACCGTGTTTTTCTTTTCTTTATATCTCTGTAAAAAGAAGGAGAAAAAATGTCTTGGTTGTCTCCCGAGAGCAGTGCTTGACTGCTAGGATGGCGTTTGGTCCTCTGCGCGGTAGATAGGAGCTTGGCGTAAATTTAATTCCTTATTGACCGTCTTTGGACCCCGCAACTTCGCGTTCCAGCTGAATTGTCCGTTGCGCCAACTGAAAACAAGCCTTAAAATGTGGAGTTGTGAAGACTGAATTCCAGTTGTGCTTGTTCATAAAGCGCGACCATACCAAATGGGGATCGTGTTTCGACAATGCCAAGATGTACGACTTTATGCCGCTTTTCCGGCCGTATCCCGACGGTCTTTCAACGTTAATGATGGCCCCCAAACACAGCCACAATCAGGAAAGTATCGACACCACATCTCCATCTGCCTCAAGATATCGCCAGTGTGTCTCTCTTGAGGGTTGCTGCAGTGTGTCTCGGCCCCTACGCACCACCGTCCGACACAATTCGTTTCCCCAAGTCCAACCGAAAACTGAGAATGGTCTTCTTGGGCCGGCCGTCAGAGGCGTGCTACCCCTGTCGCAAGGGAAGACTCAGGGTTCGTACTCCATCTTGTTCCTAAATCCCCCCTCCGACTGGTCCGCTCGTATCTTCAGCCCCGAGCCTCGACCCGTCAGTCCCTCTGGCGGTCTGTACGACACCACGGCACGCACACTTCTGTGTGCTGTTGTCCAGCGCGTTATAACAACCAACATGAACCACACTCTTCGGATATGAGCCAAGGCTGACATTTGTCTCTTTCCGTTCTCGTTCTGCAGTGTGATCGCCTGCAGCCCGGATGTACCCAGTGCTCCCGGAAGCAGATAGTTTGCCCCGGCTACAGGGATCCTTCGGAATTCTACTTTAGAGACGAAACCGCCAACGCTGCTTTTAAGGTCCAGAACAGGAAACCAAGGAGGCGTTTGCCCGCCAAAACGAAGCAGCAATCGCAATCAGTGGCGGAAGCAGATGCGCAGAAGCAACATGCAGGTTCGAGCGGTACTCCAACCATAGCGGCCACACCAAGGCAAGCTGTTGGGGCTTTGGTCAATCACTGGTCTCCATCAAGTTCATCGTCCTCAAGTCCACCGTCCGACGGTGAGGTGGTTCGCTATCGAACAATCTCGTCGCCTATCAAGGATTTAGCACGCACTTATTTCATGACCGACTACATAGCGACTTCGCCATTTGATTATCTACCTGAACTCTGCCCTTATGGATTGACAGGAAACGATGCCATGTCAGCGTCAATACTGGCTGCCAGCTTTGCAAGTCTGTCGCTGAAGATATCGGATCCAAAACTCATGAAGCAGGCTAGAGTCCAATACGCCAGCGCACTATGTCAAACGAATCAAGCACTTAGCTCTCCGAAACTTGCCGTCGAGGATAGCACTCTAGCTGCCGTTCTGCTCCTGGGACTGTTCGAGGCCATCGTCTTTTCCGGCCAGCAGTCTATGGATAGCTGGAACCAGCACACGCTTGGATCCGTAGAGTTGTTACGCCTGCGTGGAAGTCAGCAATTCGAGACCCCCCTCGGCCGCAAGCTTTTTGTTCACTCTGCGAATAACATCCGCACGAGTTGCGCGCACAGTAAAACACCTGTCCCGACCCGATTCATAACGCTTTACGATGATGCGCAGCCGTATCTTGATCACAACGATCCCTTCCTCAGAGTCACCCCTATTCTCGACAGGGTCGCCATGCTACGGTCAAGAATAGCCTATTTGGAGGACTCAGAGAGACATGAGGTTCTTGTCGAAGCTCTGGATCTGGACGCGGCGACAGCGAAGCTTGGGCAGGAAGTCTCGGCAGAGTGGAGGTTCACGGCAAGGAACCCGTATGAGAAGGCACCAATGACATACAAGGGAATATCTTTCCGCTATCCTTCCCTTCGAGCGTTGCGGTACTGGAACTCCTTAAGGATCATTCGCATGTTTCTCAACGACCTTATCTGGATGCAGGCATCCTTAATCCTCGCTCAGGGGCCGACATCAGCCAGTGTAGGCTACTTTGCCATGCAGGAGGCCGCGACGCGGAAAATGTCAACTCTGGTGGTCGAGGTACTCGCCAGTTGTGGCGAATATCTAGAGACAACGGAAGACCGATTTTCCGTGACGGCGAGATGCTTGATCTGGCCATTATCGGTCATTGCTGAGATATCCATCACGCCCCCAGACGCCCGGCGATTCGCTCTCGACTGCTTGGGCCGGCTGAGCCGCGACGGCCGTATCCCACGACCGATTGAAGTCGCAAACACAATGATGGGCCTCCAGGCAGACTGGTAAGTGCTTATCTCACCTGTCACACTGCTCGAACCATTCTTGTTGAGGTCTCGCCCAGGTTTTACATGTATCTTCTTGGATGAAACCTGTGAATATCTGTATCATTTCCAGTATTGACTGGTGTACAGCTCAACTCACACATAAGTCAGATGGACCTGGATTGGAAGTACGTATACAATACCTTGACTTCAATGCCAACGGTTGCCGGGAGTTGTTGGCAAGCCACAATATGGCTTGCAACCGGCTCAAGACTACTGCAATTTCTCGATTGAGAGAACTATCGGTCACTCGCACCTGTGTCGATAGTAGGCCAGTGTCGAATGTTAATTGCCAAGGTTGCGCGCAACACAGCAGTGCACCATGCACATTGCTGAGAATAACGAAACATACAGGTTTTGCTCTTGGTAGGTCATTTTCGAAGGCAACCGATGTTAAGGCAGGGTCAAAGGGAGTTCGCTAACTATTCCATAAAAGATATCGACCGTGGATTCAGGAAGCCGAGAACATCTCTCATTCCTTCCACTGGTGGCCATTTGCTCCATTCGTGCGCCCCTCATATTGGTAGCGCTCCTCAAGCTTGAAGTACTTGTTGAAACCGACCCCCTCGCAAACCTCAGCGTAGGACAGAATCGTCGGGGGCTTTCCCACGAGGAAGGAACCTTTCAACGCCTCTAAAGCCTCGCGAATACTCTTCAATTTTGCGGCAACCAAAGTCCACGGGTATGCAACTCCGCAGTACCCGAGCTTGCCCAGGTCTTGCGCAGACAAGTTCTCCGTCTTACCACCCTCAATGATGTTGGCAAAGACAGGGAAGTCGAGATCGTTTCTCAGGCGTTCCATGGTCTCGCGATCGGGGAGCGCCTCAACAAAGACGGCATCCACTCCAATCTCAATCGCCTTCCGAGCTCTGGTGAGAGCTTCGTCGTATCCGTGGATGAGACTATCGGTCCGAGCCATGATCCACATGTCCACCCCTTCGTCTCTGGCATCAACTGCGGCCTGCCATCGGGCGTAAGCCTCGCTTCTAGAGACCACGCTCTTGCCAGCAGTGTGGCCGCATCCTGAAGAACTTTTAGATATATTCAATTTCTTCATCACCGGTGATGTTGGGTCATACTTTTTGGCCAAGACTGGTCCTCTATCATGATGCCAGCAGCTCCTGCGGCCGCAAATCTACGTAGATACAGTCAGCATGATCACCAAATTGGTTTCCAGGTGGGCGAAAATCAAGCTTACCCCTCAACGGTCCTCTTCACATTCATCGGGCCGCCGTATCCAGTATCACCATCCACAAGGACGGGAACTTTGACCTCTCTGACAACTTCCTGAACCTTTGCAGCAACTTCCTGGAAAGCTATGTATCCAGTATCTGGGAGGCCAAAAGCAGAAGCCATGGCATACCCAGCCAGGAAGACCAGAGGGAAGCCAGCCTCTTCACAAAGTCTTGAACTCAAGGCATCGTAGCTGCATACGTGAGCAAGGATCTTGGAAGGGTCTTCGTGCGCCTCTTGCATCATGGCTCGAATCTTGGTTGCCTGGAGGGACGGAATCCCTCCACGACAATTATCTAGTTTCAGTATTGCTTTCTTGTCGCTTCTATCGATGGTCGGACCATTGCTTGCGTCGAAGTGAAACGGGTAGGGAGTGGTGTTGACGATGGACCTAGACATTTTGACTGTGGGGAATCGTTTGATATGAGACTTCTTGGTACCTAGCAGGCTATCGATATTGATATTGTTGTCAAGCTTGCATGATTCTCTTCTTCAAGCGATTTTCCTAGCTTATATACACAAACTCCCACACCTCACCACCATCTATGCAGCACCTCTTAGAGCTCCGGCTATCGGAGTGAAAGACTTGTAGCATTCACAGTCAGACCAATTTTCGAAGCATCAAACGATGAGAAGCTCGCCGTGTGACACTCGACTTGTGCCCGAATCGCACAGTCCGATGGAACAGTATTTCCGAGTGCCGAGAAGAGCAAAGTTCGGGTGATGTCAGCGCAGACAGCGAAAACGGACCGAAGCGGATAATCACGGACTGTCACGGGCATTGGCGCTATCTAGCGGATCGGAGCGGGGTTCTACGGCAGTTGTTACCCTCGCTTCACCAAACCTCCAGACCACCAGCATCGAGAGCGGACACCCGTTCTTGTATCCTGAATCTGCCAATAGGCTCATTGAGTAGGGGTAAGAGAAGATGACAAGCAAGATTTCATGAATGATTGGGATGTTCGGGGCTGACTTGTCCAGCACCCAGTCGAATCTCCTATCCTGACTTGATGCTTGTTGCTTGACTTGACTCACCATGAGCGATGAGCCGGGAAATAAGGCCATCACAGGGCCGTCCTCAGTCGGATCACCACGATTCAAGCGGACATACGTTGCTTGCGACACCTGTAGGTCTCGCAAAGTGAGATGCATTATGGGAGGTGAGCCCCCTTGCGCCAAATGCAAACGTGAGCATCGCGATTGTCGATTCGATCGACGTCCGAGAACCTCGAAGCACAGGGATCCGCCAAATTGGAAAAGTAACCGGCCGGCTGAGCATGCTATCACGCCGCAGCCTGCTAGCGTCAGTCGAGCCAAGTCACCACAAGACGTTGATACACCAGTACAAGAAAACATGCCATCAGCGGCCCCTCTATCTAGAGCAGTCAACCAAGACCTTAGAAGCGGGTGGCGTCAAAGTTCTCTTCGTGATAGTTCACTTTCAGAACGGGTTGTCTCCAGTCTTGTGACTGGCTCTAATGATGCTCTTGATGTGCTGTCCGACGCCGCAAATATACTTCACCATGCTACAGTATCACCATCCTCTGGTCCCCCTTCAGCACCGCCAACACACGCCGTGCAGGATGTTCCCGTTGCTGTACCCGCCAGAGAACAAACAGGAGGTCAGATCGGGGTGGGTTTTGTCATTCAGGCTCTATCTGAACCAGGCGACGATACCCTCGATATGTGGGACAAGTGCAGATTCGTCAGACAGGGCTGGTTCACATCGCAAGAAGCCGTCACGTACATCGATCTGTAAGGTTCAACTCTTTGGGCTCAGTGCAGCCAATTCTCACTCACATCGACTAGTTTCTTCAAATATCTCTCTCCACTATCTCCTATCATCGTCAACCAATTCCGGAACCACAATGCTCACTCAAGCCTCGTTTATGAAGAATCCATGTTATGTTGCACTATCCTAATGATTTCATCTCGATTCTTCCTATTGCCGGGAGCAGGCGGCATTTCCAGGAGTCAGTTGATACATAACCGACTTTGGCAATTTTGTGAGCTAATGATCAAACGCATTATTCTGGGTCAAGAAAAGATTTCCACCGCCAAGATGAGAATAATCGGCACAATCGAGAGTCTGCTGCTCATCTCCGACTGGCACCCTCGAGCCATTCATTTCCCTCCGGATACAGAGGGCTGGGATGCTATGCTGATCGATCTGGATTACGACCGAGAGAACCGGAGACGAACTAACGATGAGGAACCCCTCCTCCGTTGGCGCAAGGATGTTTTTGAGCCTGCGAAAAGAGCGAGCAGGATGTCGTGGATGCTCCTGGGCCTTGCGACGAATCTTGCCTACGAGCTTGGAATATTATCAAGCGGTCAACGCGCAGACTATACGGCGTCAAAGGTTGCAGATTGTCGCAAGTTTCGAGCTCGAAAGCTGCTTTATGCCTACATGACTCAAACCGCAACGAGACTTGGGTATAGCTCCGTCTTCCCCGAGAGTGTGTCCATTGCAGCCTCGAGATCTTCGATGAAAGACATGGACCATTCTTCACAGGCCTCATGGGCATCGTACATGGATATCTACCTTGAGTTCACCCGTCTCTCAAAAGTAGCTTCGTCAATGTTCTTCCAATCTGTGGAACATTTGGAAGGCTTACTTCAGAGCGATGGCTACCCAGATCTGTTGGATCATTTCCTGAGCTCTCTTAGCAACTGGAAGGTCTCATTTGATGCAGACTGCAAAGGTTTGTTGATCCATCCCCACAACACTTCAGATGGCTAAAATGGATGTTCATCATAGCTGGGCTGTTAAGAACATCACTATCTATCGAGTACTACCACATTAGAGCTTGCATAGGTGCCATATCAATACAGGCAGTCGTACGAAGAGCTGCGACAGCCAGAGCACATGGAATTGAGAAGGACAGTCTAGCCGGCTATATGACGGCCCAGGATGCTAGATTTCTGCAAGAGGTTGTGTCGGATAGCAGCGAAGTGCTACGCATTGCCACTCAGACATCTTTTCAGTCACATCTTGCATATGCGCCAGCAAGTGTCAGGATCAGCGTGATATCTGCATCCGTCTTCTTGTTAAAGGCCCTCAGTCTCGGATCACCTGCGACAGATGCTCCTTCAGCCCTACGGACGTTAGATCGATGTGTGACCGCGTTGGGAAGGTACCCGCCCGACGACATGGATTTTGCACTGAGATACGCCCATCTCATTGAGCAACATACCAAATTCCTGAAGTCAAATCTCTTCGTTGTATCTGTACCCCAGAGAGCGCTCAACGATACCCAAGACAGCCTGAGTGGATTTGGACTCACGCTGCCAACTCTTCCGCCTGATCAAAGTACCAACGATGGCGTGTCTACGGATCAGAACGGGATCTGGCGGGCTCTGCAATTTGACTCCAGCATTGCTCCTTTCAGTGACAACACAGATCAGCTTTACCAGGGGTTCGACATCGACTCACTCAACTTTCTATGGAACCTCCCAGATATCAGTTAGAGATACACGGCCAAACAGCTTGTACGTGAACCATCCGTCTGAATAAATGCCACAGTGATCTCCGCATGCTTTAGTGTCAGCTATTACAAGGCATCCGTGACTTTCCGTGTCAAGCCGCGCCAGTCCGTCGATGTCCGTTAAATCTTGCCAGGAGTGTCCAAGATTCTCCGTCGCCTTGTCGGCACCCGTATTAGTCCGCTGAGCTGCGCCCAGCCATCGTAGAGCCTTTTGTCGCCTCAAAAAGCCCATCATTGGCGTGGC